CTACTCAATGGTTTGTTTGACCAAGGAGTCCCGACGACAGCGTTCCGCAGGAATTCCACCTTGTGTGCGTCCCCCTGGTGACATCTCGGGGCCTGCCTTGAAAGCTTTATGATAGATTTGTACACTTTCGCAAGGGCATCAGACATTTCGGTACCCTGGGAGGCAAAAGAAGTTACACGAAGGGAGCCTAAGTAGTTCTTGACCCTACTCTGTCGCACTGCAGAGTTGTATTCGCTTTCTAGCATTTGAATGGCCTGTTGGAAAGTGGTGGCATATCCATCTACCTTATCCAGGTAGTATCTTTTTGCGTCACCCTGTAGCAGGTTATGAAGATACTGCAGTTTCTGGGAAGGGGATAGGGAGTAGTCACGACAAAGCTGCATATAGTCGTCGACGTACTCCATCCAAGAGTCACCTAAGTCTCCAGAAAACTTTTTGTCCCTGTCCTTAAGCCTCATAGCTACATTATGTGCAACTTTTTCTGCTGAGGTGTTGTTTGTGGAGGTCGGTGTTGTCACCTGAGAAGCTGGCTGCGTTTCTTCTCTCCTGTTTGAGCGTGAAGCAGTTGATCGAGGTCGGCGACCAGCAGCGACGATTTCACGCGCGATCTCAATCGCTGCTTGTGTGTCTTCGGCCTCTTCGTAAAGGCCGTGCGCCAAAGTCATGACGACCCTGTGAGACGAGTGCTGTTGCAAATTTCCACCTCGACAATCAAGGAAGTTCCGAAGTTCTATTAGAACTGCAGGGATGTCGCAAATCTCCTGTCGGAAAAGTGAGGCGGGTGGGAACATATCGGCGATGGCCCGTTTCAATTGAAGACCTGTGAGTTCTGGGTTCCCTTCAAGAAATCGGATTGAAGATATGAACCCCTTCTGAGGACTAGTAAGAGCACCCAATGTCTCACTTGAAATACCCTTCATAAAGGTATGCTGGGGTTCGGCAGGAGCGGGAGTTGAAGGTTGGCCGCTTTCGGATCTCCCTGCTCCATCGTTGGAGGGGGAAGGCGGCATCTCGGGGAGCAGGAGGCGACTGGGGAAGATTTGGGTAGTGTATTCTTGACGAACAAGAGCTGATTGGGCAGTAACTTGAGCTGAACACGGTTGACCTTGTTAGGGTCCGACCCTCGGCGCCCGCTGCTCTAGCGGGTAGAAGAGGTCCGACCTCTGGCGCCCGTAGACTGTACGGGTCAGGGAACGTCTTCAGCTATCTACCTGCTCCTGCGTTCACGGAGTAGGCGCTTTCAGATTCCTACGAGACTTCCACAGCAGCCAGTACACAGGCTTTAAGGCTGTCTGGTCTCTTGCGAGAAGCAAGCTCGACGGTTAGTTCGTCAGTTCTGTCTTTTACCTACTCAGTGCACAACACCCCAGAGGATTGCCACGCCCGGAAACACCAGACCACAGAGGGTGGACACCGTTATCCGCCCTAAAAAGGACCGGTGGGGTTCCCTGCCGGAGAGGTTCACCTTCCAGCTCGAGTTGCCAGCGTCGCGTCACCGGGTATTTATTCCGGGTCAACCGCTCTCGAGCAAAGTTAAATCAGAACCGATTCCCTAACCTCCACAAACCTCGACAACAGTCCTTCAGTCCCTTTCGTAGCAGTCTCAGTACCCAAACCCTGTGAATCGGCCGGGAACCTAGTAGTCCAACACGACAACGGTTGGTGTGTAGCACGGCCACAGCAGTCGTTGGCTGCGGTAGTAGCGGCGGCGGCACGACGGCGAGGTAGCAGCGGCGTGCCTCGGGGGCGCAACGGAGGCGCAAGCCAGGCACAAGCAAGACCCGTTTGCAGCGGCGCAGGACCTGGGAAGCAGCAGCGGCGGCGGGTGGCGGCGAGCGAGTGGCAGCGAGGCGGCGGCGCACCAACGAGAGCTGTGTGCGACGGGGCGGCGGCTTGCAAATCTCAGCACTGTTCGTGCGGGGCGGCGAAGTGGCAGCGTAGGACCGGCAGCAGCGAGAGGAGTGCGCGGAGGCACGGCGGCTCGCTGAGTAGCAGCGGCAGACGCGCGCCGTCGCAGTGGCGGCGTACAGTTTGTCGCAGCGGCGACGTAGAACCGACAGCAGGAAGAGCCTTGCTCAGCGGCACATTGGGTTGGGAGTGGCTGTGGCGGCGGCGGAATAGCGGCGCAGAAACGGCGTATGGCCGGCAGCGGCGAGAGGCGTGCGCGGCGGCTCGGTGGCTTGAGAGTAGCGGCGGCGTAGGCCAGGCAGCAGCCGGAGCGCCGGGCGCGGCGCGGCGGAGGGGCTGCGGCGGCGCAGCCCGTACAGAAGTGGACGGCGGGGCGCAGCGGCGGCGCAGGACAGACAGCGGCGGGTGGCGGCGGCGCAGCGGCAGGGCTACGGCGAGAAGCGGCGGGCGGCGGCGTGGTGACGAGGCAGCGACGGCGTAGACCAGCTAATAGCCGGGGTGGGGGGCGTGGCGCAGCGGCGGGGGGTGCAGCGGCGGCGCAGCCCGGTCAGCAGGGGAGCGGCGGGGCGCAACGGCAGCGCAGGCTAGACAACGGCGGGAACGGCGGGTGAGGAAGCGTTGAGCGAGCAGCGACAAAGGCAGCACCGAGCGAGCAGCGACAAACGTAGCAACGAGCGAGCAGCGGCGAGGGCACTGGCGAGCGAGCGGCGACAAAGGCAGCGGCGGGCGAGCGGCAGCAAAAGCAACCAGCGAGCGGCGAGGTGAGCGGCGCGCGAGCAGGGAGGAACACACGCTGGAGGTCTGGAGATACGTGCGGTGCTCGAAAGAAATGGTGGCGGATCTTCGCTTGGCCAATAGAATTGTCGAGAAAAAAACGTAAGGGAAAAAACGCGATTGATCAATGTGGGAATTGTCCCAGGAAAAGTTTGAAGGAAATAGTTTAAACAGTTTATTAATGTCTAGAAGAACCTACGACCGGCTCTTCAAACCCAACCGAACCTCTGGGCAATCGGAGCGCTGTTCGTGAAGGATTCTGCGTAGACACGTCTGTTCAAATCTGCCTCCGGGCAGACCCACGCGCTAGTCGCATGGGATTGTCCGTTATATACTAATTTACTGTAACCCTAAACACGGCAAGTTCTTTCCTCACCCCGTGACCCATTCACGTGGTGAGGTATATCGCCATATGACAGACATTATGATAGAAACTTTCACACCTGCTGCTTGTGACGGTGGGGTTTTGAGATTTGCTCATCCGTTGACATGCATGCATGCATGCGTTGGGCAACACTGAAAGTTCAAAAAAGGCCGTGGCAAGCAATTAGAGAACGTGCTGATGAGGCCAGGTTGGCAGATGGTGGAAGAAAGTTCCACGTTTCAGGCGAAAAGGTCGAAAGGTAATGGGACGTGTACACTTTGCTCCCGAGGGCCGCATAAATGGAAGGGCGAGCAAGTACGTTAATGCGTCAACATATCATGCCAAATACAGGGGGGGGGGGGGGGACGCGAAATAGTGCCGCTTTCTTTATTGCCACCCTCGAATTAGTGCCGCCAAAACCGGCAGAGCCGCTCCGAATTAGTGCCGTATTATTAGTCCTTACACAGGGCGGCACTAATGCGTAGGGTCGACTGTAAGGGGTTTCATCTAAGGGTATTGTACGATCGCGACAGATTTTTTGGTAGTGCAGTACAGCCCTATGCAGTGCTCTCTGTTAGAGTTAGGGACTCTAGAGGGTAGGCGCGGTACTGTAGCCTACCCTCTACCTTCGAAGGTACCTTGTCACTAACTCTAGCACTCTCTCTCGAAGATTTGGCCTTGTTTTGATTTTCTTGGGACGACTCTTGTGCAACCTCACAGATGCGAATGGTTCACTTTCGCAAGGCTTGTGTGCGTGGTTTGTTGGCCCGGTCGTGCTGATGGCGCAATGGGACCCACCGGCGCAGTGTTGAGAGGTCGAGAGGTACAGGGTTACCGCGTTACAAGCACCCTCAACAAATGGAACCTCGCCTCACATGGAACCAAAGCGGTTCTCCAGACTGCGGAGCAACAAACATTTAACCGCAAATAAAGAGTGTTCCAATTTCGATTTTTGGAACCCTCGAATATGAGGGTTCCATCAATCAACAATAATTAATCTATTAATTAATGGAGAAGAGCTTGATTTTTCAATTTTCTCGGAAAGAAGGGTTGCTTGCCGAAAAATATATGTATATGAGGGAAATTCAGAGCCCATTTGCCTTGCAGAAGAGAAAACATTGCAAAAATCCAAATATGGAACCTCGCGATAATTCGAACCGCATGTGTGTACTGTACTTCAAAAAGGTTCCATTTATCCACACCGCAGTTTAGTATTGCGCCTTTGCCCCGATGGGGGCTAAGATGTGATGTGATGGTCGTTTGAGGACTGATGTGCACAGAGAGTGAGGTCTTAGAGCATTCTAGTTGTAACCAAGTGATATACATTCTTCCTCTCAAATCGGGCCATGCCAATGATAGCCTTACATTTATCAAGAACAGTCTAGATCTCAACGTTTGGCTTGCGCTGTGGCCGTCTTTCGCATGCACACAGAGTGTAACACGAGCGCAAGGCAGTAAAGAGCAGTCATCTTTGTTGGATATAAAAGGCATCAGCTCAATTTAACAGCAGCCCCAGACCGTTCGGGCCCCTCCCAGCAAAATAACAGCCCCTCTCCCATTTGCTCGCCATACATTGCACCACTCACCGCCCGCCAGGTGGGGCTTCTTGCACTAGGGACACTCATCCCTTATTTTTCGACGGTTTCCCGAGTCGGCCTGGCACTGCCATTCCCCCGTTTCTGGCAGCACACATTTCACGAGCTACATTTTCCCCTCCCTCTCAAACCGCACACCTCCGGAGGCGTCCTTGCGCTCGTCGCAGGACGCCGCGGGCTCTGTCATGCTTCGCACAGCGTCTGTCGTCCCCGGCCCTTCCTTCGCCGACGCCCCGGTAGACCCTCAAGCTGCCCTCTTCCGCGTCCTGCTGGATGCCGATGCCGCTGTCGACGAGAGCAAGCTTCGCCGCGCCGCCGCCTCAGGTGTGCCTCCACATGCCAGGCCCGTCGTCTGGCGCATGCTGCTTGGTATCACAGCCTTTGATAGCGATCACGGACTCGCGGCAGAGCAGAATCGCACAAAGGGCTACGCAAACCTCGCCGCGGATGCGGAAGCGGATTCGGACGTCTCGAGACGGATACGTGCTCTGCTGAAGCGCTCCGCTACAGCTTACCAACCGGCTAGTACTCATGATAAGAAATCAGGAAAGCAAGGCTCTACAAGTGGTGAAAGTTATGATGGCGACGATGATGCCGACCAAGAACAGAATCCTGCTTTTCAGAATTCACCCCCGTCTAATACCTCGCTTAACGGCAACGGTCGTGCCGGTGCTTACGTCCGAGGTAGAAGACATTCCAAAGTCCGCATTGTCGACACGGAGATTGTTGCTCGCTATACAAGGGTTATAAACACCTTTCTGGAGAGTGCGGGCGGCAATGTCGAATTCCATTCGGATATGGTCTATCTTTGTGCACCGTTCATCGAGCTCATGTCCACTGAATCCGAGGCATATTTCGCCTTCAATGCTCTTATGCAGCACCATCAACACATGTTCACCGACGAAGGATTGAGCGAAGCCGTGTCAGAGTTTACGACTATGTTCTGCGCCCTCCACCAAGATCTTTACGACCACTTCTTGTCTGAAGAAGTTGATATCAAATCATGGGTGCAGAAGTAGCAAAAGAGGTGGCAAATGTTTTATCAATATGCAATGCACTTCTACGTCTTTGGGACGCCTACTTTGCCAGCCTCCGAAACCATGCACTGCGTTTACACCCCTACGTATGTCTTGTATATATCGAGCATATCAAGCCCGAATTGCAAGACTGTGAGGATGGCGAGCGCATCATGTCGGTTCTTGGCAAGCTCCCGGCTCTTGATATGGACTATGTCATGGCGCACGCCTTGACCGCACGTGAGCAGCTTCGAGAAAGAGGGGTTTTGTGAAGAGTGGGCGACGCGAGCAAGCCTAAACTCTGAATCTCGCGCCTGAGAGTAATGGCCGCTCGGATTTCTACCAGATTAGCGCATTCAACTGACCAAAGTTTTGTAAATTGAAATAATTAATTTCTTTGCTCTAGAATGTAGTTTACTCGTTCCCGTTCCACGTCGCACTGGATCCTGGACCTTACATCGGGCAAGTCGAGCGCAGAATGCGGCGGCTCGATAGAGGTGTAGACATATCCTGACTCGACAGATGAGTAAGAGAACGAAGGGGCGACGTAGTCCCATAGCTATAAATACATGCATCACATTACTATAAGGCATCCAGCTTTTATAAGCAATCCATTTTTCATTTACTGCGGATACTTAGGATTGTTCCAAATGTGAAACCGGGACAGAGTCACAGAATCTGGGGCTCGGGCGATTCATGATCGCGCTGAGATCTTGCAGTAGGTCGTGGTTCGCAATTTCACAGCCTACACGGCTTTCGGTCGGGGAGCAGGTCAAGTTTAGTATCAGAACCATGTTTAAAAATGAAACTAGCTCATGGTAAGACCCATGATGGCATCGACGACATCTTGGTTGCTCTTCTTCAGAGCGCGAACAGCCTTTGCTCTGGACACATCTGCTTGTGACATGACCAGCTCGATGTCCTTCGTTTCAACGCCGGTCTCGTCAAGATCCTCATCCTCTTCCTCTTCCTCAGTTACAACTGCATCAGCGGTCCCTGCAGGCATACCCACGGCACCCATGTCTGGCATCTTAAACTGCTCGGCGGCGCGGTTTTGGGCGACGGCGGAGAGATCCTCAATCTTGGCTTCTCCAAAGATTATGTAGGTGTCTGATTGCGGGGACTTGTACACTTCCGGCTTCGAAATGACGAAGAGGTAGTTTTTGTTCTTCTTCACCGTGACACGGGTGACGCCGGAGACGGTCTTGAGGCCGAGCTTTTGCAGAGCTTTCCGGCTTTTCTTTTCCGCTCGCGAATGCTTGACTTCGCCTTCTTCTTCGCCTTGAGCAGCCATCGCGGCGGCAGACGCTACGGAGGCGGGGTCGATTTCAGGAGCTGCGGCAAGGTCCGGCATGTCCTCATCGGCGTCGGCATCTTCGACGGTATCGGCGACGACGGTTTCCGCCGGCTTTTCCTCAGTTTCGATCTTCTCCCCGGCCATGCTGTCTCCGCACAGAAGGTGGCTCTCAATCGAACGCGTTCGTCGTGGCACTAAAAGAGCACTATCGGGCAATGGTGGAGGAAGGGAGGTTGGACGGATCAACGCACGAGATGCAGCAGCTGGGAAACCGCGAAAACCCGGCCGGCGACCAACAGAGGAGAATACATCTCACAAAAGCGGATCAGATTTTTTCGGATCAGATCAAAGTAGATCAGGGTTCTCTGTTCTGTAATTGTGTTTGTTTGTGTAATTAATTGGAATAAGTTTTTGAAATGGGGCAAACAGAAATCTGGATGTTGCTGCAGCTGCGCCATGCTTTATTCAAGCACTGAGATAAAGTACTGTACTGCTGTACTGTTGGGGTATTAACTTTTGACGAGCACGCCGACAGCAGAGGACGGCATACTGTAAACTCTCAGGTTAGAGAGGCTGGCTTTCTTGATATTGACTGGCAACGCATGCCGCGCGAAGTGCGAATGGTAACCCCCCAACGTCTTTGCTTGTGTCCCCTCCTCCTCCTGTGCTTCTGCGTTCTTGCTTGTGTCCCCTCTTTCCTCCCATGCTTCTACTTTCTTCCTAGCGTCCATCGCAGTGCGGCGAGTAAGGACACCTCATCTATCTATTTCAGGTCCCGCCGTCATCCCGAACCTTGAAATTCACCTCCGACGTTGCCCACTACTTACCAGACTACCGCGCCACACGCCCCTTCTCCCGCCGGCCATGCAACCTGTTGAGGAGGCCGACTGCCGTCCCATCCCGCCCAACTTTAGCTTCGTGGTCGACGACGTCGTTCTCGCTTACCATGGCAGTCTTCTGTACGAGGCCAGGGTTCTAGACGTCGAAGCGGACGAGGGCCAACCTGCCAAGGCCTATCTCGTCCATTTTCAGGGGTGGAGGAAGTCATGGGACGAAAAAGTCACTGCAGAACGCGTCTACGAGCACAACCACGTCAATCTAAAGGTTGCCCATAAATTGTTAAATGGTGCAAAAATGAGGCAACAGGCCTTGTACCCTGTGAATGCAGAGAAAGAAGACCCCGCAAAACAAGTCAACGCCCCTCCTTCAGCACCACCGAATGCTCTCTTTCAGATCCCAACCCCGCTACAGCGACAGCTCGTCGACGATTGGGAATTTGTTACGAAGGAGCGCAAACTCGTACCTCTCCCACGCGAGCTCAGTGTCCAAGGCGTTCTACACAAATGGATCAACGGAAGGAGGCAATCTACAGACAAGGCTACCAGAGAAGTCGCCGAAGGACTTCAAGCCTATTTCGATGTCGCTCTACCCAAACTGCTCCTCTACAAATTCGAACGGCCTCAGTATAACAGCATATTCCACACTGGAACACCTAGCGATGTTACTATTCTCCCAAGCGCTGTATACGGCGCAGAACATCTCCTCCGACTCATCCTCAAGCTTCCCTTTTTGCTCGACACAACTGATGTGCCCAAAGACACCATGGAAACCATAGCCGAAAAAGTCAACGAACTCGCAAAGTATTTGCAAAAGAACGGAAGAGTACTCTTTTTGACCGAATATCAAGCCGCCGATGAAGAATACCTCAACTCCATCGCCCAAACATAGTTGCATGCGACAGGTACGCCTGGGATCACCTGCCCATTTCCACTGCGAACGCTTTTCCTTGACTATTTTTCCCGTGTCTTTCCGCTTGCAGCACGTGTGAATATCAGAGTAAACGCATTTTACTACAAAAGCTTCAAACCACACATGACTGTGGAGAGCTCCTTCAATTGCGCTGTTCTCGACAGTCCTTTAACCATCTGTCAAGTCCACCCTTCGTCTGGTGTCGTGTGACGGCATCTGGGGTCGTGCTGGTGCCAAGCTCATCTTGAAGGGGTCACTGCAAGGGTTGCCTCTTCAAAAACACCCGGATCTCTGGCGTGATTTCCGGAAAGATGGCCTTGTTCTTCATCGCCCGACACAAGTAAGCCTGTGAAATGTAAGCCTTCAGGTTTATTCTCATGCTGCCTACTCCGTACTAAACATTACTACAGGCGTCCGCGCTACTCATGCATTCTACAGAACCGTTCGATAAACAAAGCGTACCACTATTCCACCTCATTTCCCAAGTTCGCATCACTACTGACAACAAGTGGCTTGCCGGAACGGATGAGAGAGCGAAAATGATTGGACTCCGACCATCGCTTCAACTCTCTTACTCGCAAAATTGGGAGCGGGTGGGTAGAACTGGCGGTCATGGAGTCACGCATGAGCCTTCCCAATCGTGTTGATGACGCCTTGTCGAATTGGTCGGCCTGCGACAGGTATTCGTCGACATCCATTTCATTGCAGTATCGAGTTGTCCCGCCCGCCAATTTCATCAAGGTCGACATAGCCACTCGTGAGTCTTGAATGACTAGAAGCATGGCACGATCGCATGTGAGCTCTGCAGACCTCTGCCAAAGAAGCAACTGAGTGTTGAGAACTTCATACATAGCCCGACCCAAGTTTCCCCCTAATGTTGAGGTGGACATTAACAAGAGCAGGTTGGCCATCGTCACCCAGACACCATGCTCACTCTTGAGATGACCAAGTTCGTGTGCAATAACGGCCTGGAGCTCTGCAGGAGCCAACAACTCGATAAGTGAAGAGTGGATAACAATAAAAGGCGAGTTACCTTGTACAGCCAATGTGTAAGCATTCGGCACTGGGTTTTGGCGCACATATAATTGCGGTATGGGTAAGTCTAGCACTTGGCAAGCCTCCTCTAACATGGCGTTGATGCTTGGGTATTGCTTTTCAGAAACCTTAATGCCTGTAGCGATATTCTCAAAAAACATACTCTGCTCTGCCATACGCAGCAAGCTTCGGAGCACCCCCTCTAGCCCGATAAACGATTTAAGGGTGCGTGTTGCACGAACATCAATGGGGTGACGAAAAGAATCTGGCCTTAGCGATGGGAATTTCACACGGGGAGCGACGGCCAGTGTTTGTCCAGTAGCAGATGCTTGTGTGGCTCTGTGCAAGGTGCAGCGTCGTCGGCGAGGTTGGTAAATTGCCGAATGGGCTTCATTCCGTTGAATGAAAGCACTCCTAGAGCCCGCAAGTTGGTGCTGAGGTGCAATTGTCGGGACAAAGGCCATGTTTTGGGTTGGGTAGTAGCTCGTCAGTCCTTGATCGATTCCTTTGTTTCACCCGACAGCGGTCTCAGCTAACAAAAAAAGAAAAATGACTTTGTGTTCTCACATGCAACCAAGAACTATTTTCTGACGATGGGCCTCCAGGACGAAAGAGGGGGCCACTACTTGGCTACAGCGGCCAGAAATGAAACTGCGATTGGTAGTGAAATCTTTGGATCCAACCACCAACTCGCACTATTATTGGCAGAGGGTATTTGCATATACATCCAACCATTCAACGACAAGTATCAAAAATATCTTTAGTTCTGAATCTCCAACGTGACCACAAGTGAGAGCAAACATAGTTCTGTACCAGCTTCCATTGTCCATATCGTATGCACGTTGAAGACTAAGACTTCAGAGGCAAATGGACTGTTTGTCCTTTCTACATACCTGTACATACAGTACAAAGGCTTCAACTGATTTAAGTCTGAGACAATCTAGAGCTGCAACTCTCTTCCGCAACCCACCCCCAGGATGGCGTAAATCTCTGGCAGTCCGTCAAGAACAAAAAACGATGAATGCGCAAAAGCACAAATTCTATCACATAAACACAAAAGGGGAGTTAAAAGTTACCGATGTAGTGTAACGGGAGACAGTTTTGTTGAGTTTAAAACCAAAAATACATCGCCAAAGAAATCTTGCAAAGTCTTTGGCATCTGCACTGCTGCACTGGGGTAGACTGTGGCATGCTTGTCGAACAGTTCAGTGCTTGACACAAGAAAGAACATAAACGCAACGGCTGCAAAGATTTTTCTATCAAGCCCTTCGTCCCCATGGATGGAAATTCGCAAAAACGTGAAGTAGTGGGCAAAAAATCTGAAGAATACTCTTTACATGTGCCAGAGCTCCACATCTCTGGTCACGAAACTCGCAAAGGGGCGGCTAATTGCACTGCTCTTCCCCTCGACCTTACAACGACTCTTTCGCGATATCGAATGTTTCTTGCATCTCCAAGCGGAGGAATCTCTCCTCGCTCGGGACCGGCCCCTTCCATTTCGTAACGCAATGGCTCCTCTGGATCGTTGTTGTATATATGTACGTATCCATCGACGTCAATCGAGGCACCCCAGTTTTGAACGTTGCTCGCATCTGAGGATGACACCGGGACCACCATGTTCATATCCATGTCGAGTTGGAAACGGTGTAATCCGATAAAGAACATACGACTTGCATAATGAAGTGAAGTCGTAGAGGCATCACTGAAATCTAAGCCCTCTGCTGAAATAGCTTCCTCTTGACCGGGGAAATGGCTCGAAAACACCTTGTTCTTACCTTCCTTGTCTGCAAAGCTGCTGGGGTTAAGTAGCATAGCAGCGCAATATCTTCTTCTAGATATTTCATCGCCTGCAAATATTGAGCTTCCGCTTCCGTACGGCATTTTGAATTCAAATTCAGCTCCTGGTCCAAGTATGACCTTTTCGGCTTTCGAATACTCGGTACTGTCCTCTGGTCCGGTTACAAGGACAAAACCGTATCGGTTTCCTATGTTTCGAGCTAGCAGAACTTTCGAGGTGGAAAATTCGAAGCGAATATCCGAGCTGCCACTGTACCCAAACATTTGTAGTATCTGTGTTTTCCTGCCCATCTTGATGTTTAGGTACCCAGTGTGATGCGCGGCGCTATTCTGTCCCTTGAAACATACTTCCACAGTTGCACAAGACTGAGCCCCGATTGAGACATTTGAAGGACTGACTAATTTGAAGACAGAGCTTGGTTCATGTTCATGATCCTTGAGTTGAGTTGATCCCACCCACATTTGGATAACCCTGCCCCGAGACGTCCCGTTAAACACTCGGAGTCGCTTAGAACACGAAGCTTCGGTTGTCCTGTAATATGTGAGAGTTGGTCTGTCAATCGAAAATTTGACTGCGGACGATCGCCTAGAATTGCTTTCCACGAATAGAGGGACTTCATAAGACGAACCAGGCTCTGGTCTCCCAAGTAACTTGCAGATGAGCAAAAGACTCAGCTTTTTTTCCTTCGCAATGTTGCGTTTTATGACTACTTCGGCCCTTTGTTCCGGCTGAAGAACCAAATGCCCCGGCTCCACTATAACATGTGCACTTCCTGGCCTCGTCGGCTTCGCAAGAACCTTAATATGAACTTCCATGTTTGACTTTGATCCACTGCACAAGGGAAGAACGACTGACTCTGTATCAGGAGCGAGAATCACTCCTTTGGTGCGCATCTTTCGCGGTAACCTGAGCTTTGGTTTGTCCTCTGCTGAACTGTTTTGCTTTGTTGACCAACTCTTAGCACTTGCGTAAGTTGCAGCCGAAGAGCTTCTCCGCAAAAGTTGGGGCAATGTCGGCATAGGATCAACGGATGGCTTTCCTCTAGCTGTTTCGTGAGAGAGACCACTTGTCATATCTCCGTGCATTGCAGCATTTCTTAAAGTTCGGCCAGCAGTTTCTTCAGAATTAATCGGCGCGCTTTCAATAGCTCCAGACGTTGCTCCTGATAGTAGAGATGGTTTGAAAGGAAGTACATGCTTTTTTGTGTCAGACATTGCAGGTGTGAGAGGCCGAAGAGCGGCCTTCAATCCCTCCAACTTCATCGGTGCGGTAATCGGTACCGGTGCTCCGTCATGAACTTTGGCCATAAAACCAACAGAGCGTGAACTGTTAATGCCTTCCAAAAACTCCAGCTTTCTCATTGCAGGGTCCACTTTCTGCACGAAATCGTTGGATTCATAGCCAACGAGCTTTCCATAAGGAGTTTTGGCGGCAGTTCGTTTAGCAACTGTGCCACCCTCGTAGCCCACCATTTTTCCGTATGGTGTTGCCTCAGAAAGTACGTGGTAAGGGTACCCATCTCGCGAAATGATCCCCCCTTGTTTGGAGACCAACTGTTCCTTTCGGTCAGGAGAAAGGGAGGACTGCTTAGGCGTCTTCGGAGTACTTTTGGTGGTCATTGTCTCAGAACTACTCGTACTCTGGCTTTTCGTCCTCTGTTTCTGATCAACAAGACTTCTTGATTCGTGGTCATGGCTGTTGACAGTCTTTTCGCTTCGATGACTTTCAGCAGAGCATATGTTGCCACTATCTTCATGACCAGCTTCCGAATGTCTCCGTGCGGCAAGTGTACTGATTGCATGTGAACGGTGTTGAGAAGGCGTGGAAGCTGGAGTTCTACTGGCTTCATTCTCACGAGAAGGTTCTGGTTCTGGTAGTCCTGAATTCACTGCACTTGTACATGAGCTTTGTGGAGAAGATCTAGGGTCCTCGAGCCCTTTGATTTCTTTTTGAGAAGAAGTTTGACGAATATTTGAATACTCCAGAATTGAATCTGAGCGTTGTCCAGCAGGTATGGAGTTCTGATGTTGGCTAGCTCCACTCCCAAAGGAGGCTTGGAGAGCGTTTGAAGATACCGTGGCAGGATGTGGGCTTTGTCGAGAAGAAGTGGGACCCTTGAAATCGCGGGCTTCACTGTTGCGAGAAAGTTCCGACTGAACCAGAGATGCCCTATCACTCTTAACTAGCTGTTCTTGTGTGGTCTCTGTGGTCTCTGTGGGCACGTCCGTCCGGCGAGTCTCTTCCGCAGGTTCGCATACTACCCATTCCACTGGATCCATAAGGCTAAAAATGCCTTCACATAAGGGACCATATTCAAAATCCTTCGTCACAGCGTCAATGCCCGAAGCAGAAACGACTACGTCGAGGGGCTCAAAATTCATAATATTTGAGTCATCGTGTGATGGAACAGAAGCCATTCTGCGATTTAGACTATCGTCCAAAGTAGAATCGTCTTGGTCGCCACTTCTTGAATGTCCCGTCAAATGACCAACATCGTAAGAGGCCTGGCCAACTGAAGCACCTCCATTTCCGAATGAACTGTACCTTCGTGTGCTATCTGAATAGCACTGCAGTTCAGAGGCACCCATCGACCTAAGTTGAGAAATAGTCTCTGACCCGGTGAGAAGAGATGCAGGGTTGGCAGCAGTAGCTCGCAGCGAAATCACGTGATCAAACGCTAAGTTGTAGTCACGACTCTTAAACTGCTCGTCATGCTTTGAGGTCATTCTTCCTAGCTTGATTAGGATTGTTCCTAGGTAGAAACGGTTAGAGCCTTCATGCTGCGGACGCTTGAACTGGGCTGTGAATGAAAACGATGAACATGCCGGTATCGTAGTGGGAATACACTCGCAGCTCTCTTCCCCATCACGTGCGATGCTGAAGGCTCCCCCCCCTGATTCAGTTACTATGACGTTAATAAATAGAGGCGCATCATGTTTAGTCTCATTCCACACCGTAACAACCTCCTCGTCAGTCTGTTCGTCGTTGTCAAAAGAGATGTCTGTGTCTTGTCGATTTGATTTAGACGCAAATTTAGGCCTCTTGACTGCGATAATCGGTTCGGTTCCGTCTGCACCGAGGTTTAGCGTTGTCTCGTGGGCAATTCCCTCCTCGTCTATAACAGTGAGGACTAAGCTGGCTGTACTTTCTTGGTCAGATATATCAGGGGCTGCCCAAAATGTCAACATCATATCTTCGTAGCCTCCTGCACCATCGGTTTCAAAGTTGACTGTCCCTGAAATGACAGAAAGCAACGTGCTATTGGGGTAGTCTGGATTCGTCTCGAGGTTTGCCGACACCGGGCGTATACTTCCATTGAGCTGAACAACCCTAATGTTGATTGCATATGGAAGCGGAACTCGCGCAACCCTGTAGCCAAGGTCAATGTCAATAGTCTCTTCGAAACCAACGAGTGAGCTAAATTCCACTTCATGAACGATTTCCGGGACTATATGTGACGGTAAAGCACACCCCTCTAAACCATCGGTAAACGGGTTGATGCTGACCTCAAGAGATTCCGGCGGGTCTAAAAAGCGTCGATTCACTTCTGATGGATGCCGCATGAGGTTTGGAAAAATCGGAGCCGTGATTTTTGCACTTCTCGCCTGGAAGACCTCAGGCATGCTCGGAGACGATAGTACATATCTGCTTGCAATTGACGCTCGCTCTGGCCCAGATACATAGACTCTTTCTTCACCGAAAAGGTCGAGGTCTTCCCAATGTGGCCCGTTAGATCTCTCCTTCTGTCGTGGTAGGGACTTCGGTTTGTCTTTGGTTGCGGGATTTGGAATTGTTGAGCTGTTTCGTGATAAAGCGAAAGAAGAAGCGCTAGGTTTCCCTGGACTCTTTGGGGGTAACCTTGGGCTAGGCGGAATGTTGTCAACTCCTGATCCATTGGTAGATGAAGCGAAACCTGCATCGTTTGAAATGGTGGGGTCATTCTCACGAGCCGAATCGTGGTGAAGAGAAGAGGTGCCATCAGCGAGCGCGTGTTCTTTCCTTGAAGATGAATGGCGAAGGAGAGTAGGATGCATGAGAGCCCCACGTTCCATAGAATGCTCCTCGTACGCATGGGGCGAATCCATCAAATCCGCTACTGAGTGAGGCGCCAAGTTGTGACTAGGCGAAACACTGTTGGGGCTGTCGTGCATGGGGGATGGTGCGAAGGTAACGCGTGGTTGCTCCTGCACAGATGGAGAAAGAGCAGGAGCGAGAAAGGAGGGGGATGGGTTGCAGATAACGTCTGAATGACGGAGCTGTGGATATATGGAAGCAGAGGGACGAAGAGCAGCGATTGCAGAGTGTTCAGATTGTGGCGGAGTGGATGGCGCAAGCATTTTCCGACAGAGACTAGGAGATTGAGGGAACGGAGGGATGAATAACCATCATGTTGCCTTCGAAGAATGGTTGTCTGAATGGGAAGAGGATAAATTGCTTTACGCTGAACGATTTCGAAAAAAGCGCTTGGCGTCCCAGCTATTCACATTATGCGCTTTGCGCGTCCACTGTCGTTCAAATTTAAACCGCTAATATTGTGCTCCCGCCAAAAGTTTTTGAAATCGATTTGGCACATCACATGCCCCGCTGCCTGAATTTACTTAAGTAATTAATTTTCGACTCTGTCAAATTTCCGATCTCCACCTCCACGTGTATCTAGAGAGAGAGATCCTTAACACACGAGACGCTTCCACACTTGTCGCAACTCAATTGGACGTATTTGGCAAAGATCTTTAATGCCATTTCAGCCCTGAAGCGCACGAATTAATTTGTGCTATTCTTGTTCATTGGCTATCTTAAGTCACGTACAGTACTTTCCTCATGCCCAGTCACGGACATCGTTCTGGCCACCCATTCACCGCTTCGCTTATCAAACCGGCACGGCTTCATCCGAGAAAAGTAAATACCGTTCCCATGGTACTCCCTGCAAAGAGAGCACTATCCACGTCCGCACCCTTGCTTCCTCGCGATTGCGCATCTTTCCCGTGCCGCCATGCAAGCAGCGTTTGCAACAACGGGCCAGTTGCCTACGTTTTCCAAGTCTCTAAACCCTTCCTTGTCACGATGTTCACCGACTTCAACGCACATCACTGCTCGTCGTGCACGTTTTTCAGCCTCGCTTTCCTCTCCATTCCCACTTCCTGATTTATTTTCCTTTCCCAACGTCGTCTTCCTCTCGTCAACGGCCTCATCTGACTTTCGCCCAGAGCTTGTCGGCTCTTTGCTGTGGACGGCAGGTCTCTACCTCGGCTTTTCCCAGAGCAAACGATGGGGGTCTATGGTTTTTGACGCTCAAGCAAAGTTATTAAGATCCTTTCAGCTTCCAGAATTGGCAGTCGAGGTCCTTGTCCTTCCCACACATTCGCTTCCGTTTCTCGCGACAGGCTTCGGCATAGATGCAGTTCTTCGCCACGCAAATGGCGGAAGTGCTGTTTGGGCCATTGCTGCCGGTTTATCGGTAGCAAGTTATGGTGGAATTTACGAACTCGCGAGGTCCTCGGTCACCCCAAAAAAGCTTTCTGAGGAAGACCAGCGACGATATGACTTGTTTGACGACTTTGCAAGAAGAAAATTACGGGCATGTGGTATGTGCCATTTAATTGACATTAAGGAGGCTGTGCGAGGCGACCCAAAAGCAAGATCCCTCACTTATCTTTCTGATGAAAGCTTAAGGAGGTTTGTACGAAACCGGTTCCCAAAGGCGAAACGGTCCCCCAATGGGTATTATCGGGGTTTATCTCTTCTGGATTTGAGTGAAGCTGCAAGACAGTCGGCTCAGTATGGAAGCTTTGAAGAAGGATAGTGAGTTGCAGTGAGTAGAGTTGCTCATTAGCTAAAATACGAAAAGCAAGCTGGGCGTGAGCAGGGGCGAGCGCCATGAGTTGCAGGCGCCAGATATTGGTGCTCATATTTCGCGTTCAAAAGGTGTGTATAAAGAAGCCGGAGCGCAGCTTGGGCTCAAACCATGTCGACTTAGGGGGCATCACCTCCCCATGGTCTGAAACCTGAAAGAGTTGTTTCACAGTGACGGGATGCAGAGCGAAAGCTACAGTGCCATCACCTTTTCGCACTCTGTCTTCCAAGTAGGGAACTCCTCGAATGCCACCGACAAAATCTATGCGGTCGCTCTTTCGAGGATCTTCGATGCCCAAGAGCGGCCCCAACACGTTTCTTTGAAGCAGGCTAGCATCGAGAGCGTCCGCCACGCCGCACTTCTCTTTTGGCGGGGGCAACGTGAATGAGTGCCAATCATCCTCCAAAAAGACGTACACAGAGCCAGGGTTTTCCGGTACTTCTGACGGCGACTTTGCCATCCTTGTCAACTCGCCTATCTCCGACAGCTGTTGTATGAATTCGGATGGTTTAAAAGTGGGCGGAGGCCTTACGATGCGATTGTAGGCTAAGATATTGAGCTGGCTGGCTGGGAAGAGGACGGTGAGAAAACAATTAAATTCCTCCTCCCCCGTCCACGCTTCCCCAATGCTGGCCTTCCTTTCACGACCGACTCGGGCTGCACTCGCCGCTCGATGGTGTCCGTCAGCAATGTACGACACGGGAACGTCAGACGCGAAGAGATCCACGAGCTGGTGGCTGTGTGACTCTGACAAAACCCAGACCTTGTGCAGAACGCCGTCATCGCCTGGCGGGACGTCGAAGAGCGTGTCCTCCATGACGGCGTGATTGACAATCTTGTCGACGTCGACGACGTCGGGGTAGGCCAGGAAGACCGGGCCGACGTTGGCGGACAGGTGATCCGTCAGACGAGTGCGGTCTTCCTCCTTCTTCGCGCGCGTGCGCTCATGGCGCTTGATGACACCAGCGTCGTAATCGGAAACGGCGGCCAGCGAGACCAGGCCTCGCTGGGACCGGCCGTGAAGCGTCTGCTCATAGACGTAGAGGCGGGGTTCGGAGGCGCGCACGAGGGAGGAAGAGCGCTGGAGTGAAGCGAGGGCCGCGTGCGCGGCGGTGTAGGTCTCGGCCGCGGCGGCGTCGTCGGGGAGACTGGCGTCCGGGCGGACGACGGAGATGAAGGAGGAGGGGTTCGCGTCCAGGATGGCGCGGGCCTCCGGGAGCGAGACGACGTCGTAGGGAGGGCAGACCAGAGACGCGGCGACGTCGTTGGAGGAGGGGAGGAGGGGGCGGAAGGCTTTGATCTTCATGACGACTGGAGAGCGGGGAGCGGACGAGGGCGTTTAATGTGTTGATGGCGGATGGGTCACCGTGGATAAATGGTGGGATGAATGAAGAACGGACGGCGACGTGAGGATGCGGGTGGAGAGAGTCGCCTGCACCAATTGCACCGTGCGAGGGCAGTACAGATCGGTATTGTACTTATACTGTACCGTCGGGAAATGCAGATCTATGCACGTGCTGTGCACGTGGGCGGAGATAATGAGTATCTTTCTAAAGCTCTAAGGTTTTATCGCTGTGCACGTTTTTTCCGTCTTCGCGCACGTGTCCTGTACGGTACCCTTGGTACGGTACAGAACTTGTACAGTGGCGTGCTCCTCGTGCAAGGCATTACACTACGGTATCACACCCACGTTCGTCATGCAGGCTGCATGATGTAGCTCGGGAACACGGCAGGTGCGGTAATACAGTTGTACATTACCCCATCTTCCAACAATTGTTGCAGCCCTGTTTCTGCAGCATGCAGGCTGCCAACTGTTTTGACTCAGAGCAAGTCTAGCACCATCTTAGCATTTTCAATCATCAATTCTACAGCCACAGTCCTTTCTTGAATGGCACACCCTCACAGCTATGGTCGTCCTATCAGTCGCATCCCTAGCTTTGGGAACAACGGCTAAATATACAGTATTGTGAGCGTTATCATTGGAGACGGAGCTAACAATTATTCTCAGTTCTCAAAGGACTTGAACAATATCTGCAAAGTCCTCGCAGCACATCCTGTTGTTGTCAAAGGCGTCTTATGAGAGATAGCTCGCAGCACATCGTGTTGTCATAACTCATTGCAGCCTCGTTCGCAAACCTTAAACGGGCTTTGAGATCGCACATGCACTCGCTTCTGAGCTGAAACAATAAGGCGGTGACGCTATTTAACACAAATACACACAAATCAAGGTCTGACCCCCTCCGTAGTAGATCAGGCAGGAGCTTAATTTAAAACAGGATTAGACAACAATGAGCTTGTATGCGCTTTCAGATGAAAATCTGCAAGCGCAACCAAGACCACGGCGTCTAGGGACTGGAGCGAAAGTGATAGTTGCTCAGCAGACTCGCAAGAAACCGTATCTGCCCCCACGTATGAACAATCCTGCTGGCTGTAGACAACCTGAAACGACAATGCGGTCAAAGTTGTTAATCTGCCAGAACTTGAAAATCCCAAAACTCCTGTTCATGTCCCAAGTCAGACGATGCAATGGTAGCAGACTAGCAAACTTCACGAGGTGTAAACGGAAAACAGGGTATAGGGCCGCAGACTTCACAACCGCCGGTGCCCTCCATTCAAGTGCACGCTTCCTCTGCAACTCACCGGCAACACGCGCACTTCTCGTACGTCAACAACATGCCTCCAATATGATAGGATTGCTCCTTACGACTAACGCCGGCGCTATTAATTTCGCTGGGATAGTTTGAAAGCTCTGTCCATGCACCGTACTCCCAACAAATCCCACTGCGAGACAGAAAGTCATAGGGGAGCACCATGGAATGGTTTCTTATGGTTAAGATCATTTTTCGTGAACTATCCACTTGCCACTTGAGCATCGCTGAGCGCCTTCTCAGCGGCCAGCCTTCCCGATAGCATAGCGCCATGCAAAGTCGGTGAGTTTCGGTGATCTCCACAGACGTAAACGCCCCCTCCCAATGACGTATCTTGGTCAAAGCAAAAATCAGGAGATTGTGCGGGTAACGCATTCGCAATTCTGTAAACTTTGAGCAGCGACCAATCGTCCACCTCCGCACCAAACCATTTCTTCATTTGTTGGCGAACTGCCACTTCCAACTCATTATCGTTCCGATTGAGTTTGTCCTCCACTATCGTTGTTGAAATAAGAGTTTTGCCTGCCGGTGCGTAACTTGGTGCAACTTGCGAAGGCACAAACATGTTGTTAACCGGGCCATCTTTGTCCCCGTCCCCATTGAGAACCAGGATTGGACGCTCGATTGGCGGCGGAGTTTCCGAACTGAAGTACATGCATATACTGCCACCAGAGCGGGCCGTCGGAATCTGAGCACCAAGCAGTCGTTCAGCAGCGGGGCCCTCGACTGCCACAATGATAATTGGAGAGCTGTGTTCTTCCTTCGTTGTTTGTACGCTTCCGCTGTCAACGCTCAGCACTGGTGTGTTGAGGTGTATATCCACGTTGTCTGGTAACGTTTCTCTCATCTGTTCCGCGACTGCACCAATTCCACTCGCCGGGAGTGAGGCTGGAGCTTCGGAGAACATCCGGAACACAAACCTGAGCATCTTAGCCGACTGGTCTGCGAGTGGAAAGAGAAAGATTCCTCGATAAAATGGACGAAAAAAGGCTTGCACAAACTCTTGTGAAAAGCCCTTTTTGGTCAAATAGTCGGCAGTAGATATGTGTGGTGCGTTTGGGTCGAGAATATCAGACACAGATGTGGCCAGAAGTTCTGTGCGGAGCAAAGCAACACGTAGCTTGTCGACAAGCGAACCAACTGGCGCGAATACGCCGGATAAAGCTAACAAAGGAGCTCGAAACGGATCCGAGATGGTATGGAACGCTCCTTGAAGACGAATAGTCGCCCCTGGTAGAAATGGCTGGAGATTCAACTGGTCATAATGAAGCCTAGAGGCGCAATTGTCACCATGGAGCAAACACAAGTCAGCATTGTGTGCAACGTAAAATGTATTATTCTACGACACAAAACTTGGGTCATTGTTACTTACTGCTGACGGCACTCGGGGTAGGCCTCGATAAAAACCTGGAAACCACGGTCGAGGACAAAGCCGTCGACGACGTCTGTACGCACACGTCCGCCAACGGCGTCAGATGCCTCAAGCAAAGTGACGGGAACGCCAGCTTTTCCCAACGCGTGAGCTGCGGATAAACCTGCGACACCAGCGCCTACGACAATGGCGCGTTTCTCAGCAGTGCATTTGATTATACACCGTGATCTTACAACGCCTGTCAAAGGCTTTGTCCGGAGGAAAGGGGGGCCCGTCGCAAAGCTAAATGCGGCCAACATTGATGCACCTGTGAGCGGCGCCATCAGACTTGGTCTGTTCTCCCATGCGTGGGAGGACAATGTCGGTCGTCGAGATGGAGGGCCGGTGTGTAAGAAAGTCAACAGCGGGCAAAAGATGTGTGTGTGTTTCACATGAAGTGTATTTCATGCGCGTCGCAACTGTAGAATTTGATGCCAGCAAGGTAAGCCTTGAGCTCAATGTTGGCCAATCCTGGGAGCTCATTCATGATTTAAGGTCAAAAGACGAACCTCGAAAAACCTTAACTTCTATTCTATTGTCGAATTTGATACCGGACTGACTTCTTCACAGGTCATGTTTTTCTGTAGATCTTCCATGGCACTACGAGCATCTTCTTTGTCGAATCGGGGGGTTGTATACGTACAGCATCATCCAACGAACAACTGAGGCCTTATTCTATTTACAAGTTGCCACAGGATGATGCGTAACAAGTCGCTTAACATTTGGTACTTCACAGTATAAACTTATATAACTAAGATATGCACAACATTTTCACGGAGGCGCTTGATACTTCTGACTATTGCTTGGGGAGCATTCGTGCAACTTGCAGCTCTGTCTTTCTCCTCCCGTTTGCTTCTATGAGGCCGGGGTCATCTATAGCACTTGACATCTTGCAATGTCGAGAGAAAGATGCGACGAATTGCTACTGAGCTGGAGTTGAAAGGTACCCTGGCGACGAAGTCTGATCGAAGCCGGGCCTTTGTCCCAAATTTGTCAATTTAAATGGTCTTCATTCATCAGACAGGGGCCCATACTCAGTAACGTTGAGACCCCCCTTATGTCGAGGCACAGCCTACTTCAGGTCTACATTCATTGATATTTATTAGACTGCGATAAAATGGTGGTCCTTCAGAGCAAATCGAACCGATGCCATTGACAAAAAAAAAAAAAAAAAGAGAGAAATAAAATGAGACATTTGATTTGATCAATCCGCCTCTTTGTAAATTTTTCTTCTTGAGCTCGTCGTCACTTTGTGCAGACTGTGCAGCACTCTGCACAGAGAATCGTTTTCGACAGCGAATGTGTCCCGAACTAGCCCTTCAGGTTACGCCTAGTACCTGCTTGTAACACGCTGGAGAGTTGGCTTTTGTTCTCTACAGAGCAGAGGAATTCCAAGCTTGCGTAACAGGTTTGCATTGCAAACTACGGCACCAAGACAAGGAGGAGCAATGGCATCGCCCGTCATGCGCGGAAGGACTGCTTTCGTTGTGACATCCGGCCGGACCTTCTTGCGAGCCTCACAACTCACCAGGCATGTATGTCCGGCGGTGAGGCGATTTTCTGCCAGCCGCACACCTAGAGCCTCAATTGAGACTGAAGTTGGTCAGAAAATGAAGGATGCGATGAAGTCCAAGGACAAGGATGCTCTCAGAGCACTGCGCGGAATTCGCGCAGCCTTTCTGAACGCCCTAAAGGAAACTGGAAGCGGGGACACGCTACCAGATGATGTGGCGATGACGCAACTGAGAAAGCTTGCAAAGATGCGCACGGAGAGTATTGCCATGTTCCGGGATGGAGGGCGAGATGATTTAGCTGAGGCCGAGCAAAAGGAATTAGAAATCATTGAACAGTGGTTGCCAAGCTTGGTGGGTGAAGAGCAGACTACGGCTTGGGCAAAGGAAGCCATTGAGAAGACCGGTGCTTCGAAGAAGGGGGACATGGGTAAGGTTATGGGGTAAGTTTAACGTCAATTCGTTTCTATGCGCGTGTTCCTGGAACTGGTTACTCGGCATTGCGCGATATTTATCAAACCGATTCTCTGACAGAGCTGCTTCCGGTTTGTTTCCACTTGGATTGGTTGGCTCATGTTTTTTTGTACAAAGGGCAGTTATGAAGGACCACAAACAAGAAGTGGATGGTACTCTTTTGAGGGAGATCGTTCAGAAGCTCCTCGCATAAGCCGTTTCAGATATGTCTCTTGAAATGGAAACGGCGCGACGTCACGTGCGACATAGGAGTAGTTTTGTCAAAGCATGCAGGGATGCGAATGTGTTCCTCTCACTTTGTGCTGCTGAAATTCCCAGATGAATGGCAAAGATGCACCAGAAATGTTTTGCTTTAAAATTATGCGGGAATGCTACTGTACACCAAAATTGTTTTTACTTTTTCTTTGGATCTCCCGATTCTGATTCTTGCCATCTTCGTAAACAGTGAAGCGGAATAAGGTTCGACTCCTCTTCTCAGCCATCTCAGAGTTGCGATTGACACCGAAGTCGGAACTAAAACATCCAGCGAGAAAGCCAGAATGTTGAACACAGCGTTTGTTTCATCCCTTGCGGGTGTCAAGTCTGGTTTCCTTTCACAGGGCCTGCCAACACCCTCGACATGCCGCAAACCAGCGATGGGCATCTCGACCATGGGGCTCGGAAACCTGGCTTCTGGCGCCAAACTCCTGCTCGTGACAGGGGCTTTAACAGTAGGAGCGATAATTGTGCTCCCGCAAGCCAGTTCGGCGGGCTTGTTTAACTTCAGTGGCGAGAAGCCCAGCAACGTTGGCTTGCGCTCCGAACGCTACTTGGACAGCTGCCCTGCATCTCCGAACTGCATCTCGTCTATGGCTAATGCGGTACGTAATTTGGCTTGTCTGCGCGTTAGGATTTTAGCACGGCATGCTAAGCAGATCTCGGTGACTGGTACTGACATTGACATTGGTGTACGGTACATTGCGACCGCAGTATGACTCGCACTTCGTTCCTCCATGGACTTATACAAGTGCAGGATCGAAGAAGACTATGGCAGGAGCCATTAGGGATGTCACAAAGGCTATCGAGAACTATCCTCGAACGAAGATAATCGAAAGCCGGCCGACAAAAAGCGAAGTAGGAGAGGGACACTACAGTACGTTATGACAGTTTCCTTGAACTTGCGTGACGGTACGGGTATCTTGCTTCTTCTTTTATTCTGACACCGTGCTTTTGACGTCGGCGACTACGCGGGCGGGCATTTCTTGTGAGCAGTTTATGCCGAGTTCAAATCGAAGACGTTTGGGTTTGTGGATGACGTCGAGTTCTTGTTCCAGCCGGATCAATCAACTGTAGAATATCGCAGCGCGTCGAGGCTTGGAGAAAAGGACTTTGATGCGAACCGCAAGAGAATTAGGGAACTGCGAGTGGCTTTGCAAGAAATGGTAGGGGGCCACGACATCACTTCTGAAAGGAGCTTTTCATATTGATCAGCATCTGACACCTTGACATTACGTTTTGACACCATGTTTTGCGATACCAGGACAAGGGCTGGGCTTCCACAGGCTACAACTGATATAGACGTTAGCGATGCGCTTACCCGCAGAAGGGTGGAAGGGACAGGGTAGCATACAGTGGTGTAGTTGAGTTCAAGGCGGCTTGTCCTTTTCTCTCATGGCCTTCTCTTTTGCGTTGACAAAAGCCCATAAACCAGGATTGATGTCATCCTGCTTTCCTTCCCTGACCAAGTGGATGGCGTGCTGGGCCATGACGGCAGCGTATGGACGGTTGCTGTTTTGAAAATCGGATTGAACCTCTGCGAGGACGTTGCAAAACGCATGCACTTTCCTTTGGGCCTCTGTCTTTTCATCGCCCTCATTTGGTGGTGTGGCTTGCTCTTTCTCTTTTTCGAGTAGAGTACCTTCTTCGTCGCCGTCGCCGTTACAATGTTCTGGGATGCGTACCCATCGAGACTGGAAGGTGTCCGCAAACTCGTCGACGGCTGCAGATGTACCGATGTCCGAGACGGGCGGCGGGACAACGGTGCGCAGACGTTTACGCAGCTCAGTGCGCATTTGAGCATTCAGGAGCTCGCGCGGACGGCGCGGCATGAAGACTGTTTGTATCTGGCGTGCGAGGTGGAAGTGCTCTTGTTGCGGACGCCCGGACTGGAGTGGGGAAGTGGGGGAGAACCCGGCAGGGATCCATCCTATGGGACACGCAGTACGCTCCCGCTCCCTCGTCCCACCCTCTCATACCGTATGAGAGGGTGGGACGAGGGAGCGGTGCCACGGCTTGTATGACAAAATTATAATCAATGGGCGCAGGCAGCACGGGCTCACATGCACTGGCGCGCATACTGTAGGCTGTAGTGTACTGGTGCCGGAGTTTCGGAGATGAAGCTCCGTTGAGCAATCCTTCGCCCTCCCTCCCCACCACTAACACCACCAGATTCGGACCATCAACACCTTCAATGGCTGCGAGCGGCAAGTCCTCGATATGCATAGTCGGCGCGGGAGCCATCGGGGGCTTGCTCGGTGTGGAGCTATCGCGCCAAGGCCATGTGGTGACTTTTTTCGCGCGCGGCGCGCATCTGGCCGCCATGCAAGAGGCGCACGCCCTCAAGCTCATTAAGCCGGACGGTACGGTGGTGCAATCATCAGCCGACTCCGTCTTCACGGGCTCATTGGCGAACGTCCCAGTGCAAGACGTGGTGGTGCTCGGGCTGAAGATGCATCAAATCGCGTCGGTGCTCCCCGCGCTGCCAGGAATCGTAGGGGAGCACACAGTGATCCTGACGACGCAAAACGGGATTCCGTGGTGGTACTTCCAGGAGTACAACGGGCCTGCCGAGTTCCGCAACCGGACGGTAGAGGCGGTGGACGCTGGCGGTGCGCTCAAGACGGGGATTGATTCGGGCAAGATCATAGCCACGGTGGTGTACCCCGCGGCGCACATCTCGCGGCCGGGGGAGGTGGTGCACGTGGAGGGGGTGCGGTTCCCCGTGGGCGAGCCGAGCGGGGCGACGACGGAGCGCGTGACGCGGGTGTCGGGGATGCTGGTGGCGGCCGGGTTCAAGGCGCCCGTGCTGGCGGACGTGCGCGGCGAGCTGTGGCTCAAGCTGTGGGGCACGGTGGCGGTGAACCCGCTGTCGGCGCTGACGCACGCGACGCTGGACGAGCTATGCACGGTGGACTACTCGCGCGCCGTGGTGATGTCCGTGATGCGCGAGGTCGAGGCCGTGGCCGCGCGCCTCGGCTCGACGATGCGCGTCCCGATCGAGCGCCGCGTGGACGGCGCCGCGCGCGTCGGCAGGCACCGCACCTCCATGCTGCAGGACTGCGAGGCTGGCCGCGAGATGGAGGTGCAGACGATCATGGGCGCCGTCGTGGAACTCGCCGAGCTGTGTCAGGTCGACATCCCGTGCATCCGCACGGTGTACGGCACCGTCAGGATGCTCGCGCACGTGATGCGGACGCAGAGAGTGAGGATTTGCCCGATTGCGTTGGATGCGGCCGGCAAGTAAACAAGTTATGATGCTGTTTCCCTTAGTTAAAAAGGGCTAATACTGTAGCCCTTTTTAATTAAGGATTTTCCCCTTAACAGAGCGTTGCCCGTGACGACGGCCCTGACCATGCATGCGTGTGCACAGCTGCGTGCGTGCACACGCAGCTCCCCCGCAACACGGCGTGTCCACGCGGCACACGTGCACACGTGCTGAATCTATAAACGGCCCGCCCAGTCGCGTTGCCCGTAACGAGGGCTCTGATGCGCACGCTCCCCGGCAACGAGCGTGTTGATGCTGGCATCATGGCAGCCCGATGTCAGAACCGGCAGCGGGGAAACCAGGACACGGATGGCAATTTCACATTGCCAGCATTGTCATGGCTCCCCGCTCCGGCGAGGCATGCTGTTGACAGCAGTTTGACATCAAACACTCTCGACACTCTTGACTGCACTGCTCTTTTAATTCAAGAGTAACCTTAACTCAAGAGTACATTACGTTGACCCGTTGGGCTCTTGACTGCGCTGCTCTTTTAACTCAAGAGTACGTTGAGCCGTTGGGCGCGAGGCAGGCGGTACGGCAGGAAAAAATGATACAGGGCAAGCGCGGATGCATCGGGGGTACACGTGGCGACTCGACAAAGGCCCGATTGTGGATTGTTGACAGTGCTGACATCAGCCGGCCCGGAAACTGACACGTGCACACGCGTACGCGGTCGCATATAATCATAACAACAGTAACGAAAATAGCACCCCTCTGGCGCGCGACTTCTTGTGAGTGGCCGCGGGGGATTAGAAACGTGTCAGGCGGCCACGTGTCCGGAAACGGGACGGCGGATCGGGATCGCGGCGCCGCGGTCGCGATCGACAGGCAGGTGGCAGCTCTCCAAGAGCTTGGACAGCGGTGGATAAGCCAGAATCTCCTCCTGCCAGCCACGCACCAAACTCCCTCCACCAACGCCCCCACCGTGCCACCGCCCCACGGCCTCGCGCCCGCCACTCCCCCTCTCGCACTCCCGCCTCCTCTCCACTCTCCGCACCGTACGTACCCTTTCGCACCCACCCCTCCCCGGCCCGCCTTAACTTACCTTCTCCCAGCATCGCCATCCCATAACCTCCCTTTCTCTTCAAGTCTGACCCCCTCCCTTCGTTTCCGCTTTCCTCCCACCCCACTGCTCGTACCCTTTCGCACCCACCCCTCCCCCCGCCCGCCTTAACTCTTAACTTACCTTCTCCCGACACCGCCACCCCACATCCCCCCTTTCTCTTCAACCCACCCCCACCCCGACCCCCTCCCCCTCGTTTCGTTTCCGCTTCCCTCCCACTGCTCGTTCCCCCCCCCCCACCCTCCTCCTTCTTTCCCTCGCCCTGCCGCGGCCCCGCGGCACGCATGGCTGACGACGCCCGCCAGCGCGCCAACGCAGCCTTCCGTCTCGGAGACTGGACCAGCGCCATCGACGGCTACTCCTCCGCCATCGACCATCTCTCGCTGTCGGGGCTGCCGGACGACAAGAAGCTCTTTTCGAACCGCTCGGCCGCGCATTACAAGCTCGCGCGCCACCTGCGCGATGCCCATTCCACGGACCGCCCGCGCATCAGCCACCATCTGGACGCCGCCGTCAAGGACGGCTCCGCCGCCGCGGAGATAGACCCCGCCTGGCCCAAGGCCTGGTGCAGGATAGGCGCCGCCCTCATCGAGAGCGAGCGCTTCATAGAGGCAAAGGAAACCCTGGAGAAGGGCTTTCAGCTCTGTCCAAATAGTGAGGATGTCGAGGTTCTGTACGAACGCGCGCTTGAGCTCTATCAGGAGTTTGAGGCCGTCAGTGTCAGGGCCTTGGGGAGGGGCACGCGCTTGCTCGCCGAGATGGACTATCGTGGCGCTGTAGCTGCCTTTTCGGCCGCTATTTCCGCATGCGAAGCAGAGGACCGCTTTCCCTCCAAGGAGATGTATGCCGCACGTTTTGATGCCTACATTGCTCTTGCCAAGAGGGAACAACAGTTTGGGGAGCCAGACACTTGCTTTGACTATGCCTTGGACGACGCCGACCGATGTATCAGGGTTGCCCCTACTTGGCCACGTAGTTGGGTTGCCAAAGGAACAGTTCTCAAGTTGACAGATAAAATGTCCGAAGCCCTCAAAGTCACAAAGAAGGGGCAGGAGTTGTGCCAAGAGGATGATGAACTCAATCAACTGGTGAAAGACATTTCCCGTATTTTGGACGACCGGGAGCGAGAGGCACGTAACTCGAAAACTGAGTCTGCTCGAACCGCAAAGCGCAATGGCGTCGTCAAAGAGACAAGCTTGTACGATGTTTTGGGCGTCAAACCCGACGCTACGGATTCCGCCATCAAAAAGGCGTACTATCTGCAAGCGAAAAATTGTCATCCTGATAGACATCCTGACGATCCCCAGGCCACGGAGAAGTTTCAGAAATTAGGCGAGGCTTATCAAGTACTTTCGCAGGAAGAGACACGAAACTTGTACGATTCGAATGGCATGCAAGGCTTGGACGAGAATAACGTTGAAACGATGGAGGCAAATCAACTCTTTGACATGCTATTCGGTTCCGATCAGTTTGAGTTCCTCGTTGGTGACTTGCAACTCGCTTCTTTAGCCTCTAATGTAGATGAAGACGGAAACGCCCCGGCGGAGGACTTTTTGAAGAAAATCCAAAAGCAGAGAGTTCGAAAGCTTGAGGATGAGTTGATACGAATCTTACGGCCATGGACGGATGGAGACAAGAGTGCTTTTATCCAATGGGCGTACACGAAGGCCGCGTGCATGGCCGAGTCGAACAGCGGCCCGGCAATGTTGTACACAATAGGACAGATATATGCGCGGAAGGCAGACATATATTTAGGGCGTGACCATTTGCTAGGGATTCCTGCGATGATGAGCTCGTTTGGGTACACGACGCACAAATTGTCAACACAGATCAAAGCGTCGGGAGCTGCGTTGAAAGTGATGGACAAGCAACGCCGGATGCAGGAACGGGTCATGCGGATGGAAAAGGAAGGGCGCTCGATCGACGAAAGCGAGGCGCAACGGATGGCGCTGGACATGGTCGAAAATGCGTTTGATATGATGTGGAAAATCACTGTTGTTGATATTCAAAGCACAATCGATGAAGTGGCAAGTTTTATCCTTGACGGGAAGGATTTGCGGGACAATACAGTGGAGTTGGAATGCTTGATACAGGACCTCGACGAGGAAGGACGGTTGAGTATTACAGGACCGGGGATTTTACATGCGCCGTACACGATGGGATCTGGTACAGTGGTGGAGTCTGGTGTGGACAAGTCCAAGACACAGTCGCGGTCGATGTTAGACAATTTGGAAAAGGGAATCGAACGGTTTCTGCTTCCAAAGAAAGAGCACACGGAAGGGAAACGGGTGAGAAAACGGGCCGACGTGCTGCATGCAAGAGCGACCGGGCTGAGAAAGCTGGGAAAGATTTTCATGCAGGTCGGCCAAGACTCGGCAGCATCAGCGGTGACGATTGGATCGGCAGCTGGAGCGGCAGCCGGAAGTGAGAACGGTGGGTCACCACGGCGAGAAGGATTTGCAGCAGATGGCGATGGTATACATAAACGAGGCAGTGAAACGAGTTCGTCGGTTTCATGACAGAGCAAACGCGAGTGTGACAAGAAAATATTAGATCAAGTGATACACGCTCGAAAAGTAGGCGTGTATCTAAATTTACTGTAGGAGATGCTTAACTTTTTATGTACAGTACCAGAATTGAAAACGGACTCCCCACGTGTCGTACGTGTGAAATGACAATGACAGCGTGTCCCCGTGTCCACGTACGAAGACGGCGCAGCTCGGGAGATATTGTTGGATTCGGAATGCATGCTTCACACAGCTCTTCGGAGTGATTTTTTATTTCCTTTCGGCCTGCAGGGGGAAACCCTACCTCACCATCCCCTTTTCTCCGCCTCCTCATTCACAACTTCACACCTCCTCCGCTATCCCAGCATCGCTCGCCAGCATCACTTGCGCCATCCTTTCACTATGACAGCCTTCATTCCAATTATCCCGACCGGTTCCTTCCGTGCCTCGTCCCCGCTCCGCCCTGCCGCCACCTCCCCACGTCACCGCTCCCCGCGCATGGCCTACGACCCGAGTCCGGACATCCCCCCGACCTCCAAGTATCTCTCCTTCATCCCTGTTGATCGACTAAATAAGGCCCCCGTCATCACCATAAATAACTTTTCCAACGAACAAGTCAACTCTGTCTCGGTCCGCCTCGCAGACTTCTTCCGCGACGAAGGCGCTGGCAACTCGGTCAAGGCGGGCGTCAAAATCGATGATGAGAAAGCTCCGGACGAGTCCAAATGGGCAAAGTACTACGACCCGCAAACCGTCAACGAGGCCCCCATCATTTCCATCTACAGCAGCGTCGACGACTTGCCGTATACGAAATGGGGTGTCAGTATCATACAGACCGTTGTGCCGACTAGACTAGATGAGGGCAGGAAGTTGCTGGGAGATGTCCCACCTAACCCAGACTCGTACAAGGAGTACATCCCCAATACTAACATGGCTCCGGATATCACCGTGAGCTTGGGAGCAACAGATGAACAGTCCAATGTAACGGTCGACATGAACACCCAGTTTACATCGGAAGCTGCTGTCGAAGCCATTTTTGCCCAATTCCGGCGTTGAGTCCATATCGAAAATATGTCAAAAACAGCGCCTGTAGTGAAGCACAATAAAAGTTCTTTCTTAATCTCATCGCCCTTCTCGTCCGCCCTGCCTTTCAATGCTCTCTCCTTCCTAGACTACTCCAGCTAGTTGTTCAATGCTTGAAGTAGAAACCCAGTCCATACCTGCCAAACATGTTTTTCTTTCAAGAGCGTTGCTTGTTCGAAATATATACACATATATTCCCAAAACAATCTCAAGTGATCTCTTCCAAAAACGAGAGGCATCGGGGAGGCTGTAAACAACAACTTCAGCGCGTGGGCCGCTCTTCTGTTATCCCGTGAACGCACTTCTAAGTCATGCCATTTTCTTTCGTCTTGCCTGTCCCGCTTCCGCCCCACCGCGCGAACCAACCAACTACTTCACTCCGTGCACGGCGGTATCGACCGGCCCGAGCTACCCTTTCGTCAAATAACTTGTACGAGGTTCTCGGCCTTCGTCCACCCAACCCCAAGTCCTCACCTTCTCTCAACGAGATTCGCAAAGCATACCTCGAGCTCGCCAAGACATTGCATCCCGATGTGACTACGGAAACCGACGCCGACGCCGGTGCCCGCTTCGAAATCATCGCGCGGGCGTGGGCTGTGCTGGGTGACCCTTCTCTACGTCAGATATACGACAGCACGGGTCATGAGGGCCTTGCCGCTATACGAAGCATCGATGACCGTGCTGCAACCGTGCGCGAGCGATACTCCGCCCTTGACGGCGAGCAACTCGATTTTCTTTCGGATACAGGCCAGCTCATAGGCGGTCTCCTGTCCCCTGCCGATGAAGCGCCTCCTGGGATGGGTGACGACGATCGCACAGGAGAAGGCAGCGAACGTGATGACGCATGTCCCCGGTCCGTGGAAGAGGCCATATGGAACATACAATTCCATGAGGATCGATCCGTCAAGTATTATGGATTGTGGTGGATCTACAAGTTTAAGGTCAAGCAAGCTGAGAAAGCCCTGGTCAAGGTCCTGCGCACTTCGACGGAACAGACGGCCTTGGGTGGATATGGCCTGCGACGCCGAGCGGCATTGGCCCTTGGAGCTGTAGCTGCAGCTCCCACAAACGAAAATGACGCTGCAGTCCTGGCGCTGAAAGAGGCCCTCGAGAGCCCAGACTATTTCCTGAGGTATAGGGCTGCTGAGGCGCTCGCAAATATCGCACAGCGAGCAGCACTTGTCCCGGACCCCACGACAGCGTTCCCGCAAGTAGTTGTTGATCAGCTCAAAGCAATGTTGCAGAGAGGCAAGCAATACTTGGAGGAAAAAAATGAGTCGAAGAGTGGATATACGCAACAAGAGGGTTTGTTTGATCTTGAAAAACTCGACCCTGTCGTGCGAGAGAAGCTTGAAAAGGTATTCCAGGACAGGCGACAAAATGAAGAAAGGAGTAAGCGTACTACAATGACACCGCAACTGGGAGTTGATGAGGTCGGATCCGACACTGACGAGCCCTATGAATGGATACTGAAAGCCATCTCTGCTATAACATCTGGTGCAGAGGCCCATGACAAGCAACTTCTAAGCGTCATTCGATCGTATAGAAACAACTCTGTTCCTCTTGTGAGGTATGCCGCCCACAAAGCACTTTATGCACTAACAAATGACTCTATTCATGCAGAGGAAATCGTACAGGCACTTGAGTATGGTGTAGAACATCACTATTCGCAACGCGTTCTCATTCGAGATTTGGGAGACGTAGGTTATTCAAAAGGCGCTGCATCTGTAGCTTCTTGTCCTATGGTTGAAAACAGCTTCAAGATTTTCGCCCTCAAGAATATGCTTGCTAAGAAAAATCATGATCCGAAGGATGACGATGTACGAAACGTCTTGGAGCACATGGATTCGCTTTTATAACTGAGGGTTTCTCCTGAAACACTCGTGACATTGACTATTTACGAATTTATAGCCCTGGACCTTGTTCTTAATGTCTTCTTTCTCAGTTTGGAGTTGGTCCGAGCCGATGGTTTTGGAAGCCCACAGAGTAGCCGCGCATGGCGAACGACTGCTGTTGCTAGATTGCCAGCATTCGTGTCAATTCGCTGCATTAGTGCGCACGTCTTAACATGTCGTAGGTTTGCATCCCTGTAGTGCGTCAAGACGAACGAGTGAGTACTGTCAGACTGAGCATATTTTGCAGCAGCGGCCGAAAATTTTGCAAGTAGTGCAAGAGCATCATTATGTGATCTATGGTCCTCGGGATAAAAGTGCATCATGCATGCTTTGAAGCCTTCTTCGTCGGGATGGGCAATATATCTATCATAGCTCACGTGTGCTAGGTGCTTGGCCATCTTTTCGTACTCTTGTGGATAATAACCAAACGGCTGTATTTCCATCATTGTAGAGTTTTCTCGCATGAAAATCATGTTTGTGAGCAGTGGGCCGTGCCCTGCTATCCAAATATCAGTCTTCTGCATGGCATTCATGTGCCATCGCAACGATCTACTTTCTAACGTCATTGTGGATACTTTGAGTTGCAGTCGCGGAATCCGTCTAGCCTGACGTGATAAGGCTTTGCGAAGCTGAGGAATGTTCAATATGTAGCGACCAACAAGTCTACTTCTAGTCCCATCCACAAGCTTTCTATTAGAGATCGTGACATTAATGCTGCAGTGATGGTTGCGGTCTTTCGCCTCCGCCACTAAATCGCGTGCTTTCTTTTCGATTTCATGAAGGTGAAGGAAGTGCATGTTTTGGAGATGGTCTTTTGCCACAAAGTTCTTGTTGTATGGGCCTCTTGTGAAGAGAGCTGACCGATAGCACTGCATACCTTCTTGGTTTTCATTGTCGTCTTCCATATATGTTATCTTAGCATGCTTCCCAGAGTCTGGCGGCTTCATTAGTCTTACAAACTGGCGGACCCAAGACACTCTATCGTCCATGTCTTCTATCCTTGAGTGTAAATAGACAGCTGGCCGAAAGTCTTGCGTCAGAGTAGGAAATATGTTGCAATCTGTTCCCTTCCTAGAATGACATGATTTCGTGACGTGATGGTCTCCGTATACCAAGTCGAAGACGATAGCATTTGACATGAAGTCTTTGATAAAGTCTGGCATGCTTGGTCGTGATGTATGAATACCAACAAGTTCATAGGGGTCTAAGGGCTGCGGAGGAAAGCTATCCTCGAGAGAAAACTCCAGTTTCGAGTGACCGCAATGAAAACTGATTGTAGTGTCGTATCGCTTCATCCATTCCGGTAGTACCAAAGTGCCATCAGGCCGAACGCATGCGTTCATCACTCGACAAATTCGAGCAGGATGGAATGCATGACTGTATGTTATCAAACCTCCGTAAACCTTCTTATCGTCGATTTCTGTAAAGAAGCGCAGCGGGACTTTACCAGATTCTTGCCCTGGAGCTGAGGCAGATGGCTCCCTTTCTCCAGATAGTTGCTCAGCTCTCTCTGCGTTAATGTTTGTCCCGTTGTCCACGCTCTCATCTAGAGTTGTATCTTTTGTCATAAAGCCTGACAACGCAACTGAATTGTCCATTTCTCGAACTACCATAACCTTTTCGAGCTGATCATGAGAAGACTGATTTGTTTTGTAAAACAATTCATTGAGTCCCATGCGTTGCAAAGCATGAAATGAACTTCTTTTCGTCTCTTGAGGTTTTTTTGGCTGAGCTACAGGGAGACTAAGGACCACACAAAAGAAGAGAGCAATGAGCGAAACTCGTGCGGTTGTCAGGATCCCCATGTTCACTCAGGTAGATTGTAAAACGAATTCGCCGCCGCAAAATACATCAGTCCATTCCCCAATCTCTGCTGAGAAGTGCGCTAGCAAGGAAGCTGTTGACCAGAAATGTTCTGAAAGGCCCCTCTCTCAAATGCACTTCGGTCTGATATTTCCTGTTTACATACGCACGAACACAGATCGGCAATAGAAGCCTTTCCAAGTGAAAACAACTGTTCACTCCATCCTTCGTGTCTTTATCAATAATAGAAATATTAAATCCTTCCGCTTAAGCAACGCTCCTTTAGTGCAATAGCATGGCTAAAAAACAAAGATATGAACCAATGAAGAAATCCACTGCATTGTAAATACACAGTTGTTTTTATTATGTCTTGTCAGAAACGAAAGCTTCTATCGCCGTCACTTTCTGTGCACTCGTAATAGTAAAAAATCAACATGTCGCGGACTGAGAAAAGTTAAAAACGACAGTGTTTGCTGTTTTCTTGGAGCATAAATATAGCTAAAATTCAACAGTTGAACCATCGCTAATAATAACAAAAACAAATGCTTGTGGCTGCGCAAGATGTGAAAACAGAAAGGGTCGTACAGCAATGGGTAATTTTTCCATAGAGGGTTTCTATCCCGACATTACTTCATTGCGAGGTCTGTTGGTCTCACAGTTCTGTATGTATACTTCTAAAGCGATAGATACCGTTTGATGCACAGAAACGAGTAAAAAGTGTTCTTCGCATCCCCATACCTTACTGGATCAGAGAGCTTCAATACAAAAAACGCTCTGAATCTCATGTATCCTTAATCTTCATGACAGATGTGACACTCTGCACAGCCCTATCAAGAAAATTTCTTTGCAAGCCTTTGGAAAGAAATGTTGGGATCATATTAAAAATAATTTGCGTTGCAGGGTAAAGCAATCGATATCGTAGAAGAGACCTACTGAGGCTCCTTAAAAATACGGCTTACTCGGTTTCGGGTCTTTGCTGGCTTCTGTCGAAATTGCGATGCAATTCTCTAAAAGCATGAACGTTATTGTTAGCATCAAAATTGAGACCGAGAACTGCGACGGGACAGTAGATACTGTACCCTTGGGTACAGTATTAGAGATAATGTGAATTCTGTACACGTACTGAAATACTGTAGAAATATTTCCGACCTTGGCTTCAGAGGGCTTGCTCTTTGTGTCGACGCCGAAGTCCACGGCTTGGCAGACCCTGATAGAGCAATGGGGCAATCCTCTGTACCGTGTCTGGTTCAAAAATTGCAGCGCAGTTGTTTGAAAAACATTTGCCAAAGCAGTTGCTTCCGGTTTTTCTCGTTTCCACGAAGTATGCAATCCTCATCTAGGCAGTCTGCTTAAAGTGCACTCGCACTTGAAACAGCTCTAGACTTCGACGATACGGAAGCCGTCACAACACTTGCGGGAAATTGAGTATTTACCAGGCCATTTGGCTAATCCCTCCAGGTGAGAAATGAAGATGGAAGAATGGAGGCGCTTGAAAGTGACACTGCGTAGTTTCGCGGATGTTAGTGCTCTCGCGAGGCAGTGTAGTGCACACAGTTTTGAAACTCTTTCCTACATTCATCAGCAGCTTTACTGTCGCCAGATGGCGAAAACATTTTATCTCATTCAGAAATATGGTGATGCGTTTGTTACCCGCTTCAAAGCTGGTCATTCTCTCTTGGATATTGCAGATTGGATTGATCTATCCCCAACTATGGTTGCGCGTCGGGTTTTAGAACTGCACTCCAGATTGAGCCGACAACAAGTAACAAAGGCTTTGAAAGACGTGAGTGGGATCAAAGGCCAACGTTTGCGCGAAGAAATTAGGCTTTGCGTAGAAAGTGACGCATACTCAGGCCCTCATGTCGATCGGATAAGAACTGTGATTGGTGTGGAATATGAGCTTAGACTTCTCGATGAGCTGAGGAACTTGCGGGTCGAGTTTGAGTCAGAGCAAGAGTTGCGAGATCGGGGATGCCACAAGACACCAGATGTGCTTTTACGAGTCCCAATCGGCGTGAGGGGGAAACCGATATGTTGGATCGACAGCAAAGCGAAGTTTGGAGATGAGTTTACAATGACAAAGGATTACACAGGCTCATTAAGTTCCTATGTTGGCCGATTCGGTCCTGGGATGGTGATATATTGGTTTGGTATTATTGAAGACTGTCCATCCCCATTGATGCAAGATTCCGGTGTTCTAATCGTTGATAAATTTCCAACTGATGTGCAGTCATTGCCGGGTACTTACATCCCGGCACCACCGTTAGACGAGCAAGTCGAAATCTCTCCCGTTGTCAAATCCATCGGATGCAATGACGAATCACGCGCATGACTCACCCTTCTTCTATACCCGGCAATGGACATAGATTCCTTGTGTCTCGAAAGCACAGGTTCAAATGGGGTAGCTTCAACATTGAGGTCTTGCTTCAAAGCTGCATTATTCAATTTGTCTTCGTGTCGGGGAAGACACGCACAGATAATTGAATGTTAGTGCAAGCACTGATTCCTTGAGCCATGACCCTACTTGATGAGGTTTTCGACTTTTTTGATTTGTTCCCGATGATATGGTGTCAGGACTTTGTGCTTAGTGACAGTACCGCGGATGAGGAGTAGGAGAATTATTAGTGCGCCACAACAGCCCCACAGATATGAGCAGCCGCTTTGCGAGTTTGCGTCCCTGACGTGATGCGCCGTCGAAGCAATTTGGAGGCAGAATCGAGATGCTGCCCCCACGAAGTCGTTTTGATGTGATGCGTATCGCATAATTTCAACATGATTTCGGGGGAGCAGATCGACCAAGAGTGTGAAAACAATGAGCGCAGGGCAGACCAGAAAGATTAGACCTAAACCGCAAAGGAGCAGTTCCCGCTTCATCATGCGTTGATTATGCTTTCGACTGAATTCATCAATCGCCTTGAGTTCCCTTTCCAGCACACTGGCGGCCGCTTGTCGCGCCAACATTTCTAGGCGTTCGTTCAGCGCTGAATCAGATGGAATTTGTCTTAGCTGAGCGCCCTCTTTGTCAGAATTGAGTTCATGACACAAGCTAGATTCGAGATCTAAAGAATGACAACTTTTCGTTTCATCTTGCAAGGCCGTTCCCGTTGGGAAGGAATTTTTTTGGCTACGATCCCTTACATGCCGCCTGCGTAGCCCCATGTCTTGGTTCATTATCAACAGTTTTGAGGTTTCTTACTTTTTGTGTTGGAACGTGACGGAGCAACAACGGCTGCTTCCCGAGAGTTGGTACGTTTTCGCGTTTTGTCGTGATATGGTAAAGAGATTCGGAGGTACTCTCTACTGGTTGTATAGAATGCAGCAACAACTGGTTGTCAGACTCGACTACGCGACACACATCCGTGTTGCACGCCCAACCTTTGTGCTGAAAATGAATATGTAAAAATTAGCGCTTCGTTATTTTCCCGATTTGTCAGCCTGCGCAGGGGACAAGAGGGAAAAGAGGTGAAGTATAACAATTACAATTACTGACAAATGGATGTGACGTCGGCGAGAGAGAAAGAGCTCGGAGACTGTCCTCTGAGGGCAGCGTCTTGCCATGGGAGCATGGAAACTGGTACACTGAGATGGCATGACTTCTTCAGCAAAATGGATCCTGTCATCAATAATAACTCGTTTACATATATACAAGAGTTAGGGGGCTGCTCCAACAAAGGTGCGCCCGTACCACTAAAATGTAAGGCTCTGTACTACATTGAATCTGAGGAAACGACGGAATTGTTAGGAACTGGATGAGCATTCGCTCGATCCGGAAACTCTGACATATCAGTGCTTGCTGTGGACGTGCTGGTCCTTGGCCCCAAGCTTTCTTGAATTTCAGCTGCAGTCCCCGACAGGTCTTCCTTTGCATGCCGAATAACGGCAGGAACGTTACTTGTGGGAGTGTTGGTCAACTCCCTTGACGCAGTGTTCAGTTCCCTGGATGCATAATCGACGAAGAGATCAACTTCGGACGCAGTCGGTTTCAAGTTAACGCCACTCTGCGGTGAATTAGTGCCTGTAGCCTGTCGCGTGCGAGGAGTTTTCATTGGGGGACAAGACGAAACCTCCTCTGGTATATGGAGGCGGCTCATGCGGCGCTCAACACCATCGTCGTCGGTGCCGGCCGAGCATGCAGACTCAGCCTCGATGTTGGCGGATTCCGGTATTCCTTGGGTCTCGTCTTCTGCATCAGTGTCCTCGACGTCTGACCGTGCATGTTTCGATCGCAACTCGGGGAGGGAAATGCAGCTGTGAAGACTTCGCGTGATGCTCCCATCTCGCTTCTCCTCGGTCTGCTTGGGCGGTAATTCGTCCCAAAAAACAGTAGAGGGTCGAATCGAGACCTCCTTCACCACCTCTGCACCAAGTGCTTTCTCACCGAGGGAATCTCCGCCGGAATCATTTTCCAGTTCCTCGTCGTTCTTGAGTGCCATCGCAGGAAAGCTCTCTGGCTCGGATAGAGTTTGCTCCCGGTCCATCTGGATGTGCGTTGAGATGGCGAACGCGCCGTCTGCGGTGGAAGACACGGTTGGTGGCACATTTTCGCTCATTTGAGGTTCGACGGCCTCGTTCGTATCCACAAACCTGACGTGTCCGCTTCTGCCATCCGACGTTTCCGTTTGCTTGCACTCGAGAGCTGCATCTGTCACACGATCTGGAAGATGGGTACCACGATTCTTTTCTGTCACAACTTCTGCTGCAGCGATCACTGCTGCGGCCTCCGCCCCGCGCGGGGAACGCAACGGCTTTAACCGACTCTCTTCTCTCCCACCTTCCAGTGACAACGCGTTTGTCATCGTCGACGACTGCTGTCCCCTCCTTACTGCCGCGTGATGCCGATGTGGCTCATGGTTCAAGTTCTGGTAGCCGCCCCATTGTGTGTCCAGGTGCCTTGGTATAAATGTGAAGCCGACAAACTCCAAGTCTCTATTTCGGTTATATCGGAAGCGCTTCGAGGAGCGACGCCGCGTTATCTTGGATGTACTATTGCGAGTGTCTTCGTTTCCACTTTCAAAAGTTTCCAACAGTCCACTGCACGGCTCTTGCGCCATCTCGGGTTTTCGCGGGATGAGCTTTGAAATGTCCGACTTTGTGATGTCGTCCTCGAAATAGCGCGTATCTTCTTCTGACTCTAGCTCTGGGATAAAGGGAGCGGGTGTGCGGGCAAGACTATGCCAATCAATGCCAGCAAAGAAAGGGTGTTCTTTAAATTCTTCCAACCCACGCTTGGCGCCCAGACGATTGCGCGAATCGCAGAGGAGACGACAAATCAAGTCTCTTGCCGCAGGGCTCATCCTTGACTCGGGAAGCTCGCGGGGAAAGTGAAAGTAGCGCTTCCACTGACATATCATACTAGTCACATTGGCCGGGTCTCTGGAGCAGAAGGGGGGGCAACCAACAAGCATTTCAAAAAGAATAACGCCGACGGACCACCAGTCGCACGACTCTGAGTAACTGCGATCCTGGAGAACCTCTGGGGCGATATAATTGGGAGTGCCAACCTGGGAGAAAGCATTCTCCTTGGCCAGAGCCTTCCATAGCTTGACTCTGTAGGCAAGGGGGAAGTCGACATCACCGCGGCGGATATGCTCGATAAAGTTGGGGCGGTTGACGTATTCTGTGCTTGTGATAGCAAGCCAGTGGCGCTCCGAGGGCTGCATGAGACTTTTCGAAAGGCCAAAATCAGACAAGCAGATGTGGCCGTCTTTTCGGAAAAGAATATTGTCGGGCTTGATATCGCGATGAATGATACCCGTCCTGTGGAGGGCATCAATAGCGACGACGAGCTCGGCAATATAAAAACGGGCCCAATCCTCGGGGAGAAACTCCTTGCGGATAAACATTGTCATCATGTCGCCGCCGTGCAAGTATTCCATGATAAAGTAGAGATGGTGTTCGTCTTGAAACGAGTAATGCATCTTGACGACAAGCGGGTGCTCGCCGACAGAGGCCAGAACAAAGCGCTCGAGCCAGACGTGGTGGACCTGCCTCTTGTAAATCATATCCCTCTTCTGCAACTTTTTCATAGCATACAAGCGTCGATCGCCGCGATGCCTGACGAGAAAGACCTCGCCAAAGCTGCCTTGTCCAATTTTGCGTATAATTTCGTAGTGGGCAATGCTCATGGGGTTGCGCTTGCGGCGAATGTATTCGAGCTCCCGCATAAACTGTTCCTTCCGAAGCCTCACCCTGGTAGCCTCATCGATATGGCCCGCGCGTGCAGCGGACTCGATGCGTGCTATGGCATGCTCGCGGTCATGGTAGAGCATGAAAAAGTCGCGATAGTAGACTTCGATCTGACGCTTGGCGAGACGCTTCTCGTGGGGAATGTCCAGGTCCTCGTGGGAGGATCTCTGGGATGGGTGAGGGGAAAAGGCGGAAGGGTTGATGTGCTCTGAGCGGTTATTACGCGGGGACGAGGGCAAGCCGGTGGGGCCATCTTCCTTGGTGGGCAGTGCGCCCATGGCAGGAAAACGGGCTTGTAGGCTGTTGCTCTACAGGTAAGGTGCAGGGTTTGGGGGCATCTGGTCTGAGTCGTGAGGGGGAGCGCCGGGAAGGGAGGGAGGATATGTGTAGTAGGGGCGGGGTAGAGGTCGCGGTGGAGGTTGCGGTTGCGGTTGCGGTTGAGGTTGATTATTCAGGTGGGGAGAGGGGGAGAGGGAGGAGAGGAGCAGGGAGAAAAGATGTCGGTTGGGGAGATG